GTTTAGAATATGAAACCCTAACATATGGATCTGGTGACTTGGTAAAAAGAGAAGTAAGGAAATTAAAACAGATTGTCCCTGTGCAACATTTAGTATTCTGAAAGTGGAGAAAAAGTTATAGTGATGTTTTCACACATTAAGCATATCACTACCCAAATTGTGAATTTTGAACAACATCGAGGGTTTGAGGCCATCTTATTCTCTTCACAGCACATTGAAACTCTGGTGGAAGCAGCTACATCTCTTTCCAGTCTTGTGTTTATGGGATGAGTGTTTTTCAATCTTCAGTGATAATATATATATAAAATATGTGTATTACTGCACCCAGCCTAGTGTTAAGATTTACTCCAGAACTTTCATTATATAGCTAAGAACCATATTCCACTGTAGAGTTTTTTAGAATTTCAGCTTACAGGGGAAATTGCTGATAATTCTCATGAGACATTCACTTTCTTTCCCCTGGCTGGATACTATTTGCACCTCATGAGTTTAGATCCTGCTTCTTATAGCAGATTTTACACAGCTACTAAATGCATTGTTTTGTTACTGCTCTAATCTCTACATATCTTGAATCCCATTACTCACATCATCAACATATAACATGCTCTCCTCACAGTAATCACATAACTGTACAATCTTTTTATTTATTTTTCTTATTTTACATATCGATCCTAGTTCCCTCTCCCTCCTTCCCCCTCCCTCTTTCCTACACTCCCATATCCCCCAACCACCCTCCCAGCCCATTCTCCCTACTCCAAAGGTAGGGTGATGCCTTCAAAGAGGGTTCAACAAAATCTGTCAAGTCTATTGGAATAGGGACAGGGCCCTCCCTCTTCGCGCTAGATAAGCAAGTAACCCTCCATGGGGAATGTGCACCAAAATACCTTTTGTGCACTAGGGATACATCCTGGTTCCACTGTCAGAGGTCACTTTTCCCTGGCCTTATGACTGAGACCCATGTTCAGTCTGTCTGAGTTGGTCCAATGCTGGATTCCCAGCAAACAGTCTAGGGGCCCACTAACTCTTCCTTGTTCAGGTCAGCTGTCTCTGTGGGTTTCTGTATCCTGGTCTTGTCCTCCCTCTCTGGGTCTGGATTCCATCAGCTCAGTGTTTAGATGTGGGTGTCTGCTTCTGTTTCTACCAGCTACTAGATTAGTGCTCTATGATGGTGGATAAGTTAGTCATCAATCTCATTATCAGAGAAGGACATTTATGCTAGCCTTTCCATTGCTGCTCAAATTGTTAGTTGGGGTCAGTCTTGTAGGTCTCTGGATATATCTCCAGAGTCAGTTTTCTCTTCAAAGCTATAATAATGGCTAATGGCTCCCTCTTTTATGCTCTCTCTCTCTCTCTCTCTCTCTCTCTCTCTTTCTCTCTCTTTCTCTCTCTCATCTATTCCTCCTCTGACTCAATCTTCCTAGTCGAGTGTGCTTTCCTCTCCTCCTCTTCTTTATCTCCTCCTTCCTCTCCATTTACTGCCTCCCCACTCCCAATATGCTCAGAAGATCTACTTGTATTCCCCATCGAAATCCAAGCACAATTCTTCACTGACCTTGAAAGGATAATAATCAACTCTATATGGAAAAAACAAAAGACACAGGGTAGTCAAAACAACCTTGTACAATGAAGGAACTTCAGGAGGCATCATCGTCCACAACTTCAAACTCTACTATAGAGCTATAGCCCTGAAAACAGTCTGATATTGGCACAAAAATATACAAGCAGCAAGTAGACCAATGGAATGGAATGGAAAGTCCTCATATTAACCCACATACCTACAAAACCTGATTTTTGACAAAACAGCTAAAAATATACAATGGGAGCATGAAAGCATCTTCAAAATATTCTGATGGCACAACTGGATGATGATGTGTAGAAGACTGGAGATAGACCGATGTCTATCGCCATGAACAAAACTCAAGTCCAAATGGATCAAAGACCTTAACATAAACCCAGCCACACTGTACCTCTTAGAAGTGAGAGTGTGAGGTAAACTTGAAAATATTAGTACAGGAGATTGCTTCCAGAACATAAATCCAGGAGCCCACATGCTGAGGTTCACAATTATTAAATAGGACCTCCACAAACTGAGATGCTTCTGTACAGAAAAGGACACAGTTGACAAGACGTAAGGGCAACCCATAGATGGGAAAAAAGATCTTCACCAACCCCACATCTTACAAAAGGCTGGTCTAAAAAATATACAAAGAACTCAAGAAACTAGTCACAAAACACCACATAACCCTATTAAAAATGTGGAGTACAGAACTGAAGAGAGAATTCTCAATAGAGGAATCAAAAAGGCTGAAATACAATTAGTAAAGTGCTCAACATCCTTAGCTATCAGGGAAATGCAAATCAAAACAACTCTGAGATACCATCTTACTCCTGCAAGAACGGCTAAAATTAGAAACACCAATGACAACTTATGCTGGAGAGGATGTGGAGAAAGGTGAACACTACTCCACTGCTGGTGTGAGTGTGAACTTTTACAGCCATTTTGGAGATCAGTATGGCAGTTCCTCAGGAAAATGGGAATCAGTCTACCACAGGACCCAGCAATTCCACTCTTAGGCTTATACCCAAATGATCCACATCCATGCAACAAAGACATCTCTTCAACTATGTTTGTAGCAGCATTATTTGCAATAGCAAGAATCTGGAAGAAACCTACGTGCCCCTCAACTGAAGCATGTATAAAGAGGATGTGGCACATTCATACAATGGAATACTAGTTGGCCGAACAAAAATGAAATATTGAAATTAACTGTCAAATGGATGGAACTTGAGGAAACCATTCTGAATGAGTCAATCCAGTCACAAAACAAGGAACATGGTAAGTACTCAATCATATATATATATATGTTGAGTAAAGGACCATCAACCTATAACTCACACTGCCAGAGAAACTAGGATACAAGGAGGATCTAAGAGATTCATACAAGGTCCCTCACAGAAGTGGAAAGGAACACATTTTCCAGGACCACCATTTTCAATACAAGTGCTTGAGAATTTTGAAGGATAAATTGGTAGTTACAGTTGTGTTTTGTTTTGTTTTGTTTTGTTTTAACACATGTTCTCTCTAAAGCACTTTTCACTTCACATATCACATTGATGAAGCAGGAAGTCCAAGACATGTCTACAGTACTTATTGGAAATATATTAAATAGACTTTCAAGTAGACTGTATCTGTGTTCTGGAATTTTTTTTACAGAAATGATATGAGTGCATGAATTAGTCTGATGCAACTTGACAGTAATATTTGCTAATTTTAATCCTTTATTGGCAGGGAGAGGTCATCTACATTCATATAATGTTTTCTTGGACTACTTTCCTGCAATTTAAGTTTGTATTCCATAGTCCACACTTGTCTTCATGTATTTTTTGCCATGGAAGTAGAAGTACTTCAATGACATATGAAATAATTAGGAAATACTGTCTATATCCACTGCTGCTTATATCACAGAATTAAGACAGTTTTATGCCCTCTATGAAGAAGGCATCTGAAACAGAACATCAATTTTCCTGGTTAGAAATGAAGTTCTCTCTTCAGAAGAGTCTGTTTCCTGCCTTCTCTGCATTCAGGAACCAGCAGTCCTTACATCTGTGGCCCTCTGGCCCCTTCACACAAACTTGATGACTTTGCCTCTGAATCATCCATTACAGGATCTTTTCCTTTGGATGAGGATATATGTGATCTTGGAATCTCAGAGAGACAATGTCAGATATTCTCTAATTTGGAATTACATAATTTAATCATAGACCAAAATCCAGTTTAATGTTTATCATCCCTTGGACAGGTAGCTCAAGTGTTAGTGCAGCTCTTATAGCCCATCCCATCCTAATGGTTCAGTTTTCACTGGCACTCAGAATTATGGGTTTGTGTCTCTTTCCAGTATTTCTACTTTAATATTATGGTCATGTATCATGGTTCTTGAGATAAATCTTGGCATGGTTATCTTTCAAAGGTATTAAAATGTGATACTTTATGCATAAATGTGATGTTTTGTGTAGCTACCTTTAACAAAATCAGGAGTTCATTCAAATTTTTTCCATATATTCAGTCATGATCACATCAATATATAAGTTGTTCACTGTGTAAGTGTAAAGTCAGTCTAGAAGCCAAACCACAAACTTCTCTGTGATATTTTAAAATCATCAAAATTGATAATAAAAAAACTGTTTAACATCTCTGATTGCAGTGAAGAAAATACCCTGGGCCTTTGAGCCCCTACTGCCAACATCCTTTGCCCACTGTGTTATCTTCTGGAATTCCTGAGATTATTGAGTGAACTACTTCACAGTTATCTCGGGTTACATTGATTCTCCAAAAGTGATAATAGTTTCTTATTCTTTCTCATGAAATATTCACTTTGCATCATGCATATAACCGTGAATACTTGATGCACTCATCTGATGAAAGACATGAAGTTTATTTCATAAGATATGGTGAACAGTGCTGCAAAATCACCAAGGAGCAAATATTTTTGAGTTTGTTCCATTTAGGTAAATTTAGTGAGTTTGTTTTTTGTATGCAATCTTCTTGATTGGTAAATATTAGTCCTATATATCAGAAAGTAGGGCATAAATTCTCAAAATTTATCAGGTTTTAATATCCAGTCATTACCACAGTCATCACAAACCACCTCCTGTACATCTATCTGACAACCTTGTCACAATGGACAGCATCTCTCTCAGGTCTAAAATCTACTGAGAGCTTTGGTCCTAAGGTTTTACCCACAGCATCTGCACAGATCCGAAGGAAATGCTAAGTGTCCATTTCCTTGGACAGGATTAGGATTTGGACCTCAGCATCCTTTGCCTGACCCAAGTGTCCTCTACCTCCTTCTCAAACTTGAGTAGAAACTTAAGTAAAGAAATTCTCTGTTCACGAATATGCAAATCATAGGAGTCTATGATGGTAAATACAGGGATACCCATAAACCAACCACACATGATCAGTGTCCTCTCCACAGTCACTGAGCACACAGGTCCACACCATGGGATGGAGCTGGATCATCCTCTTCCTGGTGACAGCAGCCACAGGTAAGGACCCCAAGTTCTAGATGTGAGGAGGGGCCAGGTACTCAGGTGACAGTGACATCCAATCTGCCTTTCTCTCACAGGTGTCCACTCACAGGTCCAGCTGCAGCAGCCTGGGGCTCAGCTGGGTAGGCCTGGGTCCTCAATGAAGTTGTCCTGCAAGGCTTCAGGATACACCTTCACTAGATACTACTCTATTACTTGGGTGAAGCATAAGCCTGGACAGGTCATGGAGTGGATTGGAAAGATTTATCCTGGAGATGGTGATGCTACCTACAATGAGAGGTTCCAGGGCAAGGCCACACTGACTGTAGACACATCCTCCAGCACAGCGTATATGGAGATGAGCAGCCTGACATCTGAGGACTCTGCAGTCTATTACTGTGCAAGACAAGAACACTGTGTTGCAACCACATCCTGAGTGTGTCAGAAACCCAGGAGGACCAGGAAGATGCTCTGGGGGTGAGATGACAGAGAAGATCACCCTGGAGACTTACACAGAAATTAACTTTCTGAGTGTCTGTTAGTCTGCTTCCTTCTCCTAGTCCTGAAGTGTCTTGGTCAATGGAAACAGTAAAAGCACCCTTTTTAAACCACGTTCCCTCTCTTCTTGTATCTAATTGAGTTTTATTTTGCCTATAATTACATCACAAGGAAAGAATGAGGCTTCCTGTCAAGTACATTGCTACTCTGCTTTCTTGCTTTGTCTCTCAAAATTCTCACTGCTGGGAATCCTCTGGCTCTGCAGAGTAAAAGGAAAAAAACTCTTAGATTTAAGAGATATTCATACTGCAATATATTGCCACAGTTTGTCCTTTTTGTTTTATAAAAGAAAAAGCATGTCAGTGGTAGTGGTCACTTGTAAAGAGCTGGCTAAGGTATGATGCCCAGTAGGGGCATACTGAATCAATATCACTTTGGCCTAGTAGTTTTTTGTTTTTTTTAAAGCTGTCTTGTTTTAATCCTGGTGCCTTGTCTTTTCAATAGGGCCACTAATTGCCCACTCAGCCTTTCCTTAGAGTTACTGGCAACCATCTTTCAATACACCCTCATTAACTTACTTTGACAGCCGGCCTCCAAGGTGATCTTTTCTTTCTTAATCTCAGTAGGGCCTCCACTTGTAGCGCCTGTGCTATCATCTGTTCCATGAATCAGGTGAAGTCCTAGAGATTGAAATAAAGAGTCATTCATTCAATGGCAATGACTTAATGCCAAACTCTGAATGCCCTTTATTTGGGGGATGGAGTGGGCTTAAATACTGACTTACAGCACAGTGGAAAATAACAGGATTTTTAGGCTTATCTCCTCTCCATGAGGTTTGTGTTATCAAAACAGGAAGAGTACCAATAACAGATTTGGGGCAAGGAGTTCTGGCCAATAGCTTCAGGCTTGCTCAAGGTGCATCAGGGGTCCATGCAGGGCCCTAAATTAAAACATATACAAACCTATGCTGAGTTGTAAATAATGTTTGAAATATAAGTGACTTTATGAAAAATCTTCCTGGCTCCTCCATGTGTAAAGCAGGGGTTGACCAGAGGGCAGAGGAATCTTCCACTCCAAGTCTCTGTATCAAATGGGACTCTCAAATATCCTGAAATTTATCTGTCAAGAGGATCTATGACCTAGGTTGAAAACTTTTCTGATCCCTGTTGAATCCATGCAGAGCACGTGATACTCATTAACTACCTCACACACCAGGTAAAGGTAGACAGAAATTTCTTGTTCTGCAATATCCAGTGCTCTTCTGCTCTCCTCTCCTCGGTGTTATATATAGGATGCTGACACCACCATGGACTCTTTATCAAATATAAGCCACAGAGTCAGGACAGAAAGGAAAGGGAAGTCCTCTAACCTATGAACTTGGGGAAACTGTCAATAGAAACTCAAGACAGGTATGAATGCTTGGTTGTTGATAGTTTTGAACTTGATGGGCTCATGAAATTTCACCAGTCGCACCTCACAGGGAGAGGTGTATTTTTTTTCAAAACAAGCCAAAACTGTCAGCCACAAAATTCCATCTTATTTCTGGTCTGATGTATACCAATAACACAAGGTTGCTAGGACAATCTTCCTGTCCCATAAGGAATTGCTAAGAGATGTTACAGCTGTCTATAAACATTTCAAATAACACCATGGCAGAGTGATAAACATGAGATGGAGACCATAAACCATCACAGTAAACACAGGGACAAAATCTGTTACATTATATTGTGATTTCAAATGGCACCAATTACATATAATCAATAACATTGCCAAATATTTGTTGCTATAAGTCAGCAAAAGAAAAAGCCAAAATAAATGAACTATGCAGAGCCTGGGAAGCAGGTGCAGAGAGGGGTCCTGCAAGAGTGTTTCCTGACTCTACACAGGATCTATTAACCACATACAAGTCCCAGCAGACCTTCTCCTATGTCAGTTAAACCCTTGCCTTGAAGGTTACAAGATCTGACACTAATACCTAATACTAGTACCTAAAATATATGTCACTTCCCTGAAAATCTACAGAAGTAGAAATGACACACTTCTAAGGCATTGTAAGTCACCATGAAGACAGTATAGCTCACAATAAAATGAATTAATAAATTGAAACATATGTCTTGACAATCTTTTCACATGGAGAGGCAGTTTCAAGGCTATTCATGTCAAGTCTTACCTACAAATTATAAGTGTTATTACTGTGTGAAATATTTGGAAAGTATCTCTGATATTTGTTTCATTTACATCATATTAAACACCCATGTTTATTGCGGTAAATAAGGGTCAGGATAAACAAATAGGCCGAATAGATGTTTATTCAGGGAGAAATAACTTACAACCTAGACAGATGAACACCAGGAAATTCAACCCGATCCTCTCCTGTCCGAGTCACGCCAGAAAGAGAGCGCCTTCCTGGCCCCCTCCGACCTCCTTCCTCAGGTCACCTCCGCCCATAGCTCCACCCCCCAATGGGCGTGGTCAGTGCTACAGAAGGACTACCTCACTACAATTCCCCTTTTAGTCTAAAGAAAAGATTTAGGCTTAATACAAAACTATATACAAAACAGTGAATAACAAGTGTGCTCTAAGAAAAGGAAAATCGAGAACAAAATGACCTACATATCTAGTCCTAGGGTGAGGGCATAATGGAGTTTACAATAGAGTTGTCCTAAGCTGGAAAACGTAAGTCTAGTACCTAATATATCTAATTAGGAAGAGAGAATAATAGTTGTGATAGTTTAATCTTCAACCTCATCAAGACCTGAGAAGGAAAATAACAATATTAGAGTAGACAGGAAATGCGGATGGACAACTTCCAAAATGGTGCAGCAAGGACAGAAACAGCAAGCCACCTGAACAGTCACCCTAGGTCTCACAGCGACGTTGGTACACCCAGATTTGGCTAAGGCCAAGAGAACTTGACAGACCACAACAACAGCAGGGAAATAGAATGGCTGTCTTACCCTGACTTGGCAAGGTCAAGCAGTCTTCTATATTTGTCTCCTGCAAGCACATAGGACTGCATGTCCAAATCAGTGGTCAAGGTGGGGGCAATTCTATGCCCAACAGGCCATTAGCTGAGGCGAGATTGAACTCCAGCAGGAGCAACAACAGTGTCCAACATATTTTCGGGAAAATGCACGGTGCTGTCAGGAGCAACAGTGTCTCATGTCAATGGAGTACTAATATTAAAACATTTAAATGCCATGTTCTGCATGTCTATGAAGGATTGAAGATTAAGCATCTATATCTGACTAATCTCATAGGTACAGGAAATGTGAGTGAAGATAATCTATAATACTCGGGAACTTAGCTAAAAAGACTGATTAAAACTTTCCTGAGTAAAGCAGGAACAAATACTTAAACAATATAACTATTTACATATACCTACATGTAAATCCCTAAAATAGAGGTAGAGTATAAGTGTCAAGACAAGAGGTAGAACTATAAAGGGCAGCAAGATAAATATCCCAAATTGTATCAATATACAAAATGTCTTGAACACAAGAAAAGTATACATACATAGAATATGGTAAAAAATAATGTGCATAAATATTATAAGTGGAAACATTTAACACAATATAACAAAATATAAACTTAATTTTACATAGCTTACCACATAGGAATGCATAACAATGTAAGCTGTAAAATACTATCTCATTCAAACTCAAATTCTCAAGGAAATAGGCTAATCTACTTATATCCCATCTAAACCATACCTTTACCCACCATTCCCTATTCCTGTCTAAAAGATAAACCCGAGTGTAAGCATCACCCAATCCCAAATAACTAAAACCAACCCAAAGACGATGACTATTATCCCAAATTTCCAAGGGTAGGGAAAGGGGCGTAGTCATATTAAGATTACTTCCTGCTGAAATGGGACGATGATTGCTCCAATGGATCCTGTAGGAAGAAAATTTTTAGCAACCAAATTTTTCAACAGAACTGGCTGTGACATATGTAGTTAGTCACTGTGTGGCAGAAAATTCTTGACTGTAGTTCTATTTGAAACTGGCCAGGGTGTAATAAAAAGGTGCACCATTACAGCTAGCTAGTCATGAGTTGTCTCGAGCAAAACAGTCTCAAACCGGTTTTAGGGTGATGTTTGTAGTTCCGATGCATCAGGTTGAGTCAAGTGGAAATGATGATGTGGGGCCCCACTCCTGACACCAGATATTGCGGTAAATAAGGGTCAGGATAAACAAATAGGCCGAATAGATGTTTATTCAGGGAGAAATAACTTACAACCTAGACAGATGAACACCAGGAAATTCAACCCGATCCTCTCCTGTCCGAGTCACGCCAGAAAGAGCGTGCCTTCCTGGCCCCCTCCGACCTCCTTCCTCAGGTCACCTCCGCCCATAGCTCCACCCCCCAATGGGCGTGGTCAGTGCTACAGAAGGACTACCTCACTACACATGTTTCTCTGTGTAATGTGTTAAATGAACTGTGTGTTGGTGAGAATAGGGTATTGTGTTCATCCACATGCACTACATTGTATTCTGTCTGTGCTTTATTACAAGTGATATGCCTTATATGAAATTTTCTGGAACTTTCCCTTCATGTGTATACATTATATAGGTTATTGTATTGCCAACAACAAATCTAAAACAAGAATTAACAATTAATGGTCCTTCCTTGACCTCAATATTAATGGTCTCAACTCAGCTATAAAAACACACAGGCAAACAGAATGAATACGAAGACAGAATCCATCCTTCTGATGCATACAAGAAACACATCTAATCTTCAAAGACAGACACTAACTCAGAGTAAAGGATTGGGAAAATTAATTCCAATCAAATGGACCAAAGAAGCAAGTAGATGTAGCTCTCCTAATATTAACTAATTAGACTTCAAATCAAAATCAATCAAATGAGATGAATAAGGTAATTTCATATTCATCACAGGAGAAATCCACAGTACAAAGTCTCAATTTTG